CGAGTACGGCTTCCGGAAGGAGAGGGCGGCGCTGGAGCAGCTGCAGGGACACCGGAACATCGGTGAGCGCCGCCGCCCGCCGCGCTCGCTCCCCGCCGGCGTCCCTCGTCCGCGTCCCGCTGTCACCGATGCAGGCCCTGCCCAACCCCCCACACGGCGACGCTGTCCGGACGGCAGAGCTGGCAGTCGCTGTCCCCAGTGTCGCAGAGTAGCCGACAAATTCTGTGCTTCGGTCCTTACCGGAGCAGCCCCCTCCCCCACTCCGTTAGCACGAATTGTGTCCTGTCGTGAAAGGAGGCACGTCTGTGCTAGGTCGGCAGGTCTTGTACGGATACGTGAATCTTTTCCAGTTAGTGAAAAAGGGAACTGTTTTCAGGATTTGTGACATTAATTCTGGTAACTCATATTAGCACGTTACTTGCTTGACATATGTGGCTTTGGGAGAAGTGACTCAGTATTGCAGGGGTCCTTATAGAGGTGTGACAGTTATACACTTGGACTGATAAACGTCTCACTTCCTGGCTAGGATAATTTGAAGAGTGATCTTGTTTTATATTACCATTTGGGGAAAGAATTTAATGCTCGTGTTACTTTTTTTTTTTAAGCTTGCTACATGGTGTACATAACCATGGTATTTAAGAGAGAAATGTTGGCAGGCCCAAGAACTTGTTGAATCTGCAAGATTAGGTTAAAATGTCATCTTGAAAGTCTTAAGCTCTTCTTTTAACATTTAGATTATAGAGTGCTATTTTGGATCAAGAACCAGTCTTGTGATATTTGTCTTAAGAGCAGTACTTAATATTTGGATTTTTACTTTTGCTCAGTTTTGCTTGGCACCCTAAGCACGATCCACCCACCAGTTTGTGCTTGGTGAAACAATTTGAATTATTGTGCCATATTTAATATCTTTAGTAGCCAGCTATTGAAGGTTGTTTCACCTTATTTTCTTAAAATGACCCAGTTGCCTAAAAATCTTTTCATGGGAAAAATTAATTAAGAGGAAGCATGCTTGCTCATCAAAGTTATCTAGAGTGTCCCAAATTCGTACCGTGCAGAGTTACCTACTTCAGTAGTCACTTACTGAGTCTGATGTTGAAAGTATCATCATTTGTTTTTCTAGTGACTTTATATGGAGTCTTTACCATCCACTTCTCTCCAAATGTGCCATCACGTTGTCTGTTGCTTGAACTCCTGGATGTCAGTGTGTCGGAGCTGCTCATGTATTCCAGCCACCAGGGTTGCTCCATGTGGATGATACAGCACTGTGCCAGAGACGTGCTGGAGGCCCTTGCTTTTCTTCACCATGAGGGTTATGTGCATGCAGACCTCAAACCACGTAACATACTGTGGAGTGCAGAGAATGAATGCTTTAAACTCATCGACTTTGGACTCAGCTTCAAAGAAGGCAATCAGGTAGGAAATGGTCTAAGCCAAATATATTTAAAAGCAGAGGTGACTTAGTAGAGGCTTAAGAGATGTTGCTACCTGCAATACAGAAGTACCTGCAGATGAAGCAATAGAAAGAATGTCAGTGCCACCATGTGGAAAAGGACATGCGTTTCTGTCAGGTCGGGAACTAGTGAACTCCAGGAGAGCTCTGGGACTGTTAAGAGTACTCCACCTACACAGAATGCTTTTTTATTCTTTGAGCATTTGGTTCCTTGCTGAATTACTGTTACGGTGTCTTTAGTGTTGGGGCTCATAGGAAAACACGTGTGTCAGTTCTGGCAAACCCTTCCCTCGGTTTGTCAGCTCTTTGCAGTGTCTTTGTTCATCCGCAGTGCCTAACAGGCAAGAGACTGTCCAAAGAAGCGCATAGCTGCGTGGAAGGTGTCCAGCTTGCCTACGAGAACTGCCCGGTTCATGAACTGCAGAATCGTGATAGCTGAGGACTAAAAGTTGGATGGAAACTAAGCAGTTTTCTACTGGTTGTAATATTTACTCATCTTCTTTAGGATGTGAAGTATATTCAGACAGACGGGTATCGGGCTCCGGAAGCAGAACTGCAAAATTGCTTGGCCCAGGCTGGCCTGCAGAGTGACACAGAATGTACCTCAGCTGTCGATCTGTGGAGCCTAGGAATCATTTTACTGGAAATGTTCTCAGGAATGAAACTGAAACATACAGTCAGATCTCAGGAATGGAAGGTAACTTGCCCCAGCGCTTTGCTTCGGGGATCAAAGTGGCCTTCTCGTTGAGGCCACTGCTCCATCTCCTCCGTGCCCCTTGTCCTGCGTTACAGTCCCTCACAGGCCACTCATGTCCATGGCTGCAGATGCAAGTGAGCATTGCAGGCTCACTATTTGTCACCTGAGGCCTGGCATGGATAAGCTTGATAAAATGTTTGAATGTCTTTTCCCGAAGAAGCAGGAGTGATTTCTTTTGTTTAGTAATTTAGTTTTACTACGTTCTAAAATAATGCAGCAGTCTAAGTTAAATGACATTCTTCATGTAACGTTTCACAGTTCACGCTTTAGACTTAAGGTGATTTTAACTGCACAGCCTCATCAGATTCTCCCAACAGCCCTGTGAGGATGGGGAGAGTGGATGTTGGTTGTCCTGTTACAGTGAACGCCTAGAGGCACAGATCTGTGAAAACACTCGATCTGGGCCATGACGCGGGAGGGGCGTCCAGGCCTGGGCCTCGGATGCTGTCCCGCAGCTCTGCTCCGTCCACAGCCCCACTTCGCTTCCTAGTCCTCTGTCTCCGGTGAATCTGCTGACCTTGCTTCTGTGGGGTCACGGGCGCTGAGCTCCGAATGAGCTCTTCATCCGTTCACGAGTTAGGGATTAGCTGCACTGTGCTCCAAACGTGTTCCGGGGCTTTAATGTCGTGATGACATCAGTGTCCTTCAGTAGGCTCAACAATTAATGCAGTTTTTAGGAATTATTATCGGCTCTGATGTTCAACAAGTGGTTTTTGAGCGTCTAGTATGTAGTTAGTGTGTGGCTGTTGTCCCATACAGTTTTATTTTTTTTTAAACCCTTAGTCATCGGTTTGTGGTGTAGCAGCTCCTGGAAGAAATGCCTCCGTAGCCGGTGGGTGTACCGAATGCTTGCTTTTGGCAAAAAAAAATCCTGCCGTGTGAGTAAAACCAGCATCATTTATCGTCGGTGCTCCCACCAGGCAGGAGGCTGGGTGGCACGCGCACCAGCTCCCTGTTAGTTTCGGCCGTCTGGGAGCCCGTTGGAATCTGCTCGGGCCAGAGTCCATCAGAGCCAGGCCGCAGTCAGGCACTTTTTGGTGAAATTTGCAGGCATGACAGTTATTAATGGGGTCCCCAAGGATTCGCCCCTAGTTGAAAAGTCATTCGGTATTTTGTCACTTTCTATGGAGGCAGCATTGCCAAGTGAGTGAGGCGTAGGCTCTTACCGAGTTATTTGGGTTTACTAAACCCTGGCGTACTTTCTGTAAAGTGGTCATAGTGGCGGCATATGTCTCGTGAGACCGCTGACGTGGAAACAGCAGCGGTGCCTGGTTCTCAGCGTCGCGTGCGCCCCGTGGAATGCGTTCCGTGCACGTCAGTGACGATGGTGGTGGCGGGTCTTTTTACTCACACACTTCCGTAGGACTCGGAGAAAATGCCGCATGCCCCGGGGTTTAGAGTATGAACAATGTAACGAATGCAGTGTTTAAATACTGCCTCATCTCCGGCAGGGTGTTCTGTTTGTTCCTGAAAACCAGGTGGAGGCAGACTGACTCGCCCAGCACCGTCCCTCCTCGCTTTGCATTCAGCTGCATTTTCACGTGGCGCTTTGGCTTTCGCGTCTTCATTCACCCAGCGAGTGCTCGTGGAGGGCCAGGCACTGCGCGGGTGCCGAGAACAGAGAAGGCGTCCCTCTTGTCTGGAGGCGGACCACTCCGTGTGTCACCTCCTCGGCTGAGGCCGTACGGCTCAGGAGAGCGTGTTTTCTGGTGCCCTTTGCTTCCTGAACAGTTAGTGCCATGAGCCTGGTACTCAGCAGATACTACCGCGTCGAATGACCAGAGGAATGCTCTCCTCCTTTCCAGGCAAACAGCTCTGCTGTCATTGACCACATATTCGCCAGTAAAGCCGTGGTGAATGCCGCGATTCCAGCCTATCACCTGAGAGACCTTATCAAAAGGTACTGTACGTGCACTCTGCGCTTTGTGACTTTCCTTTTTACTGACTGGGTTTATGCTGTTGTTGCTGGTTGGCTTGATCCAGTGGAAGTTTTGCTCCCTTAGAAGTGAAAATCTTACTTTACATCTTTTATGAGTAGTGCGATCAAGGCATTTTACTAAATTTCATTCAGAGGAATGTTCTTTTGTTCGTGGTAAACGCCAGGTATCAGGCTCTTGTCAGGCACTTCGTGGCCACTGTTTACTCTGGGGAAGATGGGGGATGGGCCGCTGTGTCTTCGGCCTTCTGCTGCTCTGGCAGTTCTGTAGACTTGATCCAGAATAGGTTTTTAAAGAGAGTATTAATTAACTAATGACTAAGTTTGCTTTGGACCACCAAAAAAAAAAATGTTTAAAATAAGGTAATTACGTATTGTACTTTAAATAATTGTCGTTGAAAACTCTGAGGACAGAAACAATGTTTCTGATTTCTGAGTAAGTCCAGTCACAATTGATATTTTAAAATAAATGACGTGCATTATCAGATGATTTTTCACGTTTCTAGCATGGGCTAGAAGTGAAGAAAATAGTGTACTGCAAAAGGGCCGGTCTCTTGATCAAGTCAGAGTGTTCTTGTTTCTTTGGCACGTTGGCCTTATAAATCTTCTACTTAGTTTTTTTGCTTTTTTTTTTTTTTACTTTTTATTTTGTATGATTAGAGAGTCACAGGAACTTGAAGATGTTGCAGAGAGGTCTGTCCTTCCCCTGTCCCCAGTGATAAACGGCAACAGAATATCAAGCCAGAAATTAACGTCACAGTCCATGAAACTTACATCTCACCAGTTTTACTTGGACTTGAGTGTGTGAGAGAAACAAATGCGATTCAAATAGCTGTTAGTATCTGATTGACGTTAGATATCGTGTTACATTTTACATTGAAAAGAGGCAATAAGATTATCTCATGGATTCTGTACACCTGAGACCAGTGTACTACCGTCTGCCAACTATACTTTAAAACTATGAGAAAAAGATATAATGGATTTGCTTGGAAGGCAAATGATATGAGTTCTAGTATCGATTTTGTTATATTTTTATAATAGCTTTTTTCTTATTATACGACTAATTAATAGTAAATACTAATACTACAGAAAATAGTGACAAGGAAAATTAAAATTATAAACCCAGTGGCTAGTGTTAGCACTCAGTGTATTTCTTTTCTGTCTTCCTCTGTTTATTTTGTTGTGTGTGCAAGCAATTATTTAACTTTTTTTTTTTTTTTTTAACTGTGGAATAAAACACAGGCCCTGAGAACAGGGTGCAGCTTGGGGACCCCTCGGGAACGCTCTGTCCACCATTTAGCTCACAAAACACGACTGCGAAGTCCTCCCAAAGCCCGCCATGTCTCCATTCTCAGAGCATCCCCTTCCTGGGCTTTATGCTGGGTGCTTCCTCATTTTCGTTATACTTTATTACCTCCGTGTTAATCCCTGAGCACTGAAAAAATCCCCTTTAAGTCTCTGTTAATCTAAAAAGTACCTTTACATCTCCTCCCTCCCCCCTTGTTTGTTTGTTGATCAGCCTGGGCTGTTGGCTCAGTCTAGTTGTCCACAGTCTGAATTTTGTTGATTGTGTTATCGTGGTATAGCTTAACATATTTCTCTGTTTATTTTTTATAAATTGATATTTGTATATAGAGGGATTGATTTAAATTTTTTTGCAGGACTATAGATGATACTGTGTTCTTTTATAAAGCACACAGCATAGCCATCTCTGGTTCATGTGTTGGCAGCTGTTACTACTCGGTGACTGTGTCAGGGGCTGTGGGCAGTACGCTTCTTACTGTCACTTGTTCCTCATTTGGTTAACTGCAACGAAGTGCTTGATTCTCTGCTCGTTTTCATCATGAGGTGAACCCCTGTCATCCAAAGGGGATCATCCCCTTTTTGAAAATTCAAAGTATCGTGAATAACAGATTTAAATATATTTGATATACATGTGATATATGGCAATTCATTACAGCTTTTATCCTGAGACTGAACCTGACCTTTCTGTGATGAACCAGAGCCCTGCCAGCTGGCCTTGGCGGGTCACAGTGCCTTCGGGGGCTTGCTGTCTGATGCTTGGGCGCCCACCCTCCCTCCATCCCTCCTTTTCTCCCTCCTTCCCTCTCTCCGTCTTTCCCTCCCCGCCCCCCTCTCTCTGTCATGCCCACCTATTCTGGGTTATTCTTTGCTCTGGTTCATCAGAGTGACTTGCTTTTCTGTGCTTCCTTGCACAGAGGTGCCGATACGGAGCAAGCCTCACTACTGCTGGTGGCTTATCCTGAGCCTCTTGTATTTTGGCATTTATTGGGGTTTCCTAGTTGTGTTGTAGATGCTGTCTATGGGTTTTTGATTTTGCTGTCAAGTCACTCTGTTTCGACAAGATTCAAAAGTCAAGTCACTACTGTCTTCGTCTTTTTTGGATTACTCTAGTTTTTTTCACTTAATGTTATGAAATGTGGATCACTTTCTCATGTTGTATTTATTAATCAAAAACATTTTAAGTTAAAATATAATATGTGCTAGATATGGATCATGGTTTATTGAACCGTTTGCTCATAAATAGCATTTACATTTTTCGTAGCTGAATGGCTCAGTAAGTCAGTAATGTAACTAATGCTGTGATGAACACTTAGTTTGATCGTCTTTAATGGTTACGTTTTTAAAAGACCCGACAGTAGCAGTGAGGCCGCTCTCTCTCTGGTTTAGCATGCTTCACGACGACCCGGGCAGACGGATCCCCGCTGAGATGGCGCTGTGCAGCCCGTTCTTCAGCATTCCGTTCGGTAAGTTGCACACGGCTCTTTTTCTCCTCGGTCGCTGGACAGTCCGATGAGACATCAGAACCACGTGTAGCCCCAGGCTCCTCTGCCCAGGCGCACCCGTGGACTCGGGGGCGGACCTCTAACCGTGTCCTGCTGTGCCGCCAGCCCCGCACATCGAGGACCTGGTGATGCTCCCCACCCCAGTGCTGAGGCTGCTCAACGTGCTGGACGGCGATTATCTCGAGAACGAGGAGGAGTATGAAGGTCAGTGCTGCGGGCGTCCGAGCGAGTCTGGCGTAGACGCATCACTCAGTCTCCCACCGTCCTGCTGTCTGCAGTGAGGGC